CAATTCTCACATAACCTTTAAATAATTAAGTTACTTCAAACAGAAATGCTCTTGTACGCCACTTTGCACTAACCTCACATAAATCTGCTTAGCGGTATTGAAAGGGAGGAAAATATATCACGGGGATACGTAATCTGCTGTATATTAATAAACTGCAGACCAAATTATTAATACTAATTAGGGGATAGGAAGATGAGCCCCTGGATTTTCTGTAGATTAAGTATACAACCAGCCACGTAACTTGAGACAATCCTGACAGTTGACAAAGAACCTACATTCTTCTGTCAGCTCACGTCCAATTATTCAGAACTGCCTTTGATAAGACTTGAAATATGGTGTTGTGAACTGCTGCAACAAGCTGCAGCTCAGTTCCTTGAGATGACACCACTAAAAATACTATCTTATTGTTTAGCATGCTTTAGTTCCTTTTAAAGTAACCAGCTGGTCAGGCATGCCTTGAGACAGATTTCTGTCCTTTTCTTGTCACTCCCTAGCATTTAAGGATACAGAGGTTTCAACGAGAACCTGTAGACCTCTGGGTGTTTTTGGGATTCCCAACTCCCATCAATCCTAGCCAGAATGGTCCAGGGAGGAACCTGTTCTTCATCAACATCTGGAGGGTCACAGGTATCCACCCTTGCTACATTGACCACTTTCCAGTTCTCAACTATGGAGACAACTTACAGATTTGTCAGAAAATCTGCAGTCACACTGGAGTTCTTCAAGAACTCTCAGGTGGATACCACCCCAACCCCGTGATTTGTGAGTTTTAAACTTGTCAGCAAGGCATAGAACTTTGTCACTTGACAACACAACTTGCTTCCATTTCTTATGCCCTGCCTGAGATATAAAGTTCTAAAAAATGGATCTCGCTGCGCCTTCATCAACAGATGAAAAGAACTGAGCTTGTCTCCAATCTCATTTAGCATACCATTGACTCCTTTGTAAAGAATTTGTTGTTGATCTTAATGTTCTCTGTGATATTCGTCTCTCTTTTTTGCATCCTCGTGGCCTTAGCAGTACTTTTGCCAATTTGCAAAATATATTCTAGCTCAGCTAAGATTCTATTGTTGTACCTGAGAAACCTCCAAGGATTCTTGAGAGATCTGGTTGTTTTTGTTTTATTTTACCACAGACCCTTTCAAATAAAGACAATTTCCTGAGAGCTGGCTTGCTTGTGCAGTTGTGCTTGTACCAATTCCTCACCCCCATTTTTTTTTTAGAAGTTTTCACCTTGAAGTTAAATACAGTACAACTGTTTTAGACTTCCTTGTCAAATGTTCACTTACATTTATGTTGAATTTAATAACTCTTCATCTCACACCAGGTCCTGGACACCACTTAACATTAAGTCCAGGGTTCCCTCATCTCTAAATGGTTACAACATGATCAACTAGAGGACTGCTGACTGGTAAGGAAAAGAAAGATGGCAGAGGCCAACAAATCCATCTGAACATGCCTACCTGCAGCTTTGCTGACTCTTGAGGTCCGTATTTCATTAAACTGGAAATATTAATTTAGATTGCTGTAGTTTTGCTTGTTTATGTTATAATTGTTTAGCTGTTTGTTGGTCCTGTTTATATGATTTTGTAGTTTTTGGTATAGTTTTTCTCTTTTTATTTTTATTACTTTGTTCCCCATTCTGGAATTGAAAAAAATTGATGAAGAATGGACTATAATACAGTAAACAACAACAACAGTTGTTGTAAGGTACAGTGGTATCTCGGTTTACAAACTTAATCCGTTCTGGAAGTCCGTTCTTAATCTGAAACGTTAAACCGAGCCGTGCTTTCCCTAATGAGGCCTCCCGCCAATGGTGCCCTTTCACCATTCGGATTCCGTTTAGACTGAGGTAAAGTTCGCAAACTGGTACACTACTTCCGGTTTTGCGGAGTTCATAAACCTAATCGTTCATAAACAGAACTGTTCTTAAACCAAGGTTCCACTGTACTGTTGTCTGAGATTTCTTTTAGGAGCAAGATCCAATAATAAAATAGAATTTTATTCTGAAGACTTGTACAAGATGTGCATATCTTAAGGTCACAAACTGAAAAACCAACTCTAAACATATCATCCCATGAAATTAAATGGAACTTTGTTACAAGAACTGCCTTTGAATCCTGAATAAACTGCCCTTAGATTCAAAGACTGGAAACCCTTACAAAGACTTAAATCTACTTGTAAATGAAATTTTTAAAAAGGATGAAGACAAGTTTCCCCAATACACAGGTCTTTATGAAAGTACTGGCAAGTAAAGCAAGCATTTCTCATCTTCACCTCTTCCAGGATCACAGGATTGATGAAACATGTTACATAAAAAGGGGCATATAAAAACCACAACTTCCTTGAAATGTCATTAGTTCAAAAGAAGCTTATTTCCAAAGAGACTTTCAGCCAACTATTCTGTCCCAAAAGGAAAAGGTACACTTTAATTCCTTTTGCACGAAGAGATTAATCTGTTAACCATATTCCTTCAGACAACTCATGCCCCATACTAACTATTTTAGGTCTTCCTCTACGATAAGAGATCTAGACAGGTTACCCGGTGTGCCTTTCCTGAAGTAGTGTTTGGCTCTGGAGAGGCTAACTCATTCCTCGTAGTGACGGTAGATAAACCAACCATCTTTACCCTCCTTTCAGTGGTCAAAGTCAGCATTTTGTAGTTCATGATGAATTTGCATGAAATACCGTACATAAAGGAATTAAGCTCGACTACTTTCATAATGGCAAACAGCCTTTTAAGAGAGGGGGAAAGGAGAATGGAATTTTGGACTTAAATTGTTCCATGGCAGTTGGGACAAACTGTTAGAAGGAAAGGCAAGCCATCCACCCCCAACTGTTTGGACAGTAGCAACGTAATTCCTCGTGGGGTGATAAGACTCTCTACAGAGGCGAGTTAAAATGAAACCTTGGTGGGAAGTCACCTGCAAAGCCTACGACGATGTGAGTACTATGCATTTTAACTTAACGTTGCCAGCAATTTGTTCTAATGGCTAGTGCTTGAACACAAGGATGGAGAGCCTGCACACTTCCCTTTAGCATGGCCAACCAAGTTCAGCACTGGGGGGAGACAGAGGCTTCCCCATCCTTCCTTCAGCCTCATGGTGAAGGGACAGGATACAATTATCCCTTGAGTGTCTGTTTGACTCCCATTTCCCTGTCCCGGGCACAATGCTCCATGGGCAAGGCCTGAAATGGCTCCTCTATGGTAGTTTTGGCATCTGTGTTAGCTGGCTGTTTCTGTAAGCTTCTGGCCCTCTGCTAGAACCTCAGAGCAACTATTCTCAGCCTGGTGCCCTTCAGATATTTTGCTCCCAGGCAGCATGGATTAACTGTAGTCCAAAACATCTGGAGGGCACAAAGTTGGGGAAGGCCGAGTCACATTATTATAAAAGTAATGGCAACTGGGTGTGCATGAGTGGGATAATGATTATTCTCCGCTCCAGTTTAATCCAATAAGCAAGCTCACAAGTGTAAGGAAAAGAGTGTTGGAGACGGCAAGGTCTCTTTGTGTGTGCAAAGGTGGAGTCGGGCTAACCCTGATGGTTAGAGAATTCTCCTCTTGCTCCAAGTACAGTGAATGTGTTGATTAGATACACATTGCAACCCTGTCCCGAAGGGCAGTAGAGAATGGTTCAGAGGCTGAAGTAGGCCGCAAAAGGGATCAAAAGCTCAGAACAAGATTATGGACATGGCTGACGTCTCTACTGTCACTGCAAACCACTCCAGGGTCTGGATAACTGGAGCTGACAATTCCAAAAAGAAATCTAGCAGGCTCCATTATATGATACAAATGTAGTCAAACTACCACAGGGACATCCCTTGGATGATTTCTTCACTGCTGGGAGAATCTATTACATGCATCCAAGGAACATTTTTTTTAAAAAAAAACCAACCTCCTCATACTTTCATAAACAAGCTGTGAATGTTGATTGTTGCTTGTCTCTGTAAAGCAGATCCCTCCCATTGTTACTGCAATTCAGAAGCCTGAAGCAGAAAACAGCATATGTTCTTTGCTAATTCTGGAGGAGCTGCTGCCGTTTCCAGTGTAAGCCAACCAGTGCTTTTCACCAAAAAATGAGGTGTTGTACTGTTGGCACCGATAAAGGATGGAGCAGTGTGCACAATAGCATTTTCTCCGTTTCTTCACAGAATAAGATAGCTAAATTAACCAGTACCTCAGAGATCCTGCTTCTCTGCTTGTTCTAGTTCTCAGTACTCACTTCCACTGGATTCCAAAATAAGCAAACAGAGATTCAGATTCACTGATTAACTAACAGGTGAAACTGCTCTTCAAAGGCTGCATAATATTGAAGCATGCATATTTTAGGGTTCTACCATCCCACTGCACTTGATTGCATTCGAGGGAGAGTTGAGACTTGCTCCATTACTGCAACTGTTTCCTGCAATTAGCACCTGGATTTGCTCATTTCCTCCTCTTCCTTCACCCTACCCGTTTTGGATTAAACTGTCGGCCATTATGATAGGGGACCTATAAATTCTACACGGTCTAAAATACTGTTACACACTTAATTAGCAACAGTGGCAATAACTGGAAATTTTGAAATTCATGTAAATATATGTGCAGGACAATCTCAGCATAGAATTAAATCCTATCATGTTCAATGGGAGTTCTAGAGATGCATGCTTAGAACTGCAGACTTAAGAACAAGACTTTATAGGAAATGGTGTGTAAACACACTAGAACTAGTTTTGATGTTCAGCACCCAGCTACATACTCTTTTTGCTCTAGTTCAATTAGAAGTCAATGCCTTGCCCTCTAAAGCACTGTTTTCTTTGCTCATGTGTAGGTCGGAAACTAAAATTAGCTTTGTTGAAACTTAGTGAATAACCCCCATAAGAACTATATTCAACTAGCTACCTTAACTTGTTACCTTGCACATAAATACAGTGGCTGCATTTGCATGCAACACTATAGATCAGTGGTTCCCAGTTAGCGAAGTACTGTGGCCCTCCAGTTTTTAAAAAGCCAAGCCATGGACTTTTGAAAACTTATTTATTTCTACGGTAGTTTTTGTTATGTGAATGGTGCCACGGAACCCGTGGGTGGGTTACACAGACTCCTTGTGGTCAGCAGACCATCCATTGGCAACCACTGCTATAGATTATCATTATGATGAACTCCAGCAGCTCTGCGGTTCTTGTACTCCTCCTTGTTTCTTCCTCTGGTGTTACCTTGAAGGGTTCAGAAGCTTTTGCTTCCATTCTGACCTAACCATAGCTTGTCATGGCATCTGAAACCAGACAAATTGCTGTTAGTCTTAATTATGATTAGTAGAAACAAGCTACCTCCCCAAAAATAGTTTTCAACAATGCTTTGTTTCCACAAACCAGTAAAGATTAAGTATAGTTAAAGTCTTGCATCAAAACCTTCAACTGTAGTGAAAGCTTCTGAACTCCTCCTTGCAGCTGGTTTGGAATCATTGAGTCTTGTCCTTACAACCCTAAAATATAGTTTACTGTTCTGCGCAAAATGGTCCAAAGTTCATACACTTTTAATATATGAGCACTGGTTTTTATTTAGTGCAAAAACTTCAGTTCACAAACTAGGCAAAGCTTGAGTATTTGATTTAATAGTAATGTACAGAAGAAACCTGAACTTCTGTTCTTCGATCATTTCCTATACTTAAGAGACTTAAGAGAGGCATGACAATATGGAAGCTTGACTTAATACCAGGATGCAATACAGGGAGTTAGTGTTGATGCAGAAAGGTACCTTGTTCTTCAATGCATAAAAAGCAAATAGAGATTGCTGCCCTTGCTATCAACCTAGGACCTCAGTTTAGCTGGTGTGGTATAAACCAATGTTTAGGATTAAACTGATGAGAAAATAACCAAATTTAACTATGCTCAGTAAACATTTGGAGGGGGGCGACCCCCCCCATACTTAAATTTCTCTGGGAGAAAAAGGAAATCATCTCCCCCCAACTGCTTTTAACAGCTGCATGGTAGGCAGACAACTGGAAAGTATTAATTTTTTCCAAGTACTGAGATGTAGTCATTTGGGAACTGGGGTGGTTGGGTTGGGGTGGGGAGGTGATTGCACTTCCCATCTTATAACACTTATTGGCACTGTACCTTTACGTTGAAAGAGGTTCCCTTACTTCCCTACTGAACAACTCCCTCTTTTCTTTTAAAAAAACGAATAGATGTCAGACTGGACTTCGACACTTCCTTTAGGAGCACTCTCCCCTTTACAATCACTACAGGAACCAATAGCCCTTCTCATTAATGAATACATAGCTCTGCTTACTCAGAATATCAGTTAGCTATCCTTTAAGAGTAATTTTACCATAAAGGCTTGCAGGTCAGCACAAGCTCATCTGCATGATTTTGCATCATTTGCTGGAAAACTTACACCAATTGTCTTAAATCCACCAGATTCTTAAGTGTCAAGAAGCATTTTTTTCCCTATTTTTGAGGAAACTCAAACCTTCATTTTTTGGTTGTCGTTTGAAATGCAACCCAATGTCATATATCAACCTAGTTATGTTTCATAAGAAAGGACAAATATTGACACAACATTTAAGCATGCCATGTATATAGCTACTGATAAAAACTAGGGACACAAATGCTGTAAATGCTCAAAGAAATTTATCCAAGACCACAGTGTTAAAGAAACAGTCAAATATCTTATTGTCTTTTAAGAATGTATACCAGCCTGCCATCCTATAAACAAATTTATCACAGCTCCAGGTGTTCCACAACAGATAACTTAGGATTCATTGAATATAAATCATGAGCCATGTGAATACAGCTTGCTACATAGCTTAGTTTAGATAAGTACTTTGATTAATGCAAGTCTCATGTGGATTATGAGGATGAGTATTTGTGAAGTTGAGGCTCCAATCTATCCACTTTAAGAGGTAGTCCCACTGAGTACAGTGAGATTTACCATTGAGTAAGGATGCTTCAAATCATACTGCAGAGCTAGCTTAATGGATGTGACCATTAAGTGACAAGGTTCAATTTTAGGTGACTCTCCTTATAGCTAAGAGTCACAACTTAATCACTTTGGGGGGGGGTGATAAAAAGACAAATGACAATATTTTAGTTACGCTAAACAGAAACGCTATTTGCATTGGCGTTATCACCTTAAATCGCATCTCAATTTAAAATGGATATAACAAAGAGTTGTGAAAGAAAGCATCTTTTTTTAATAAAAAGGAACAGTCTTTTCCAGAATGTGTTTGGTAAAAGTGCTTAACAAGCAAGTCTTTTTATATTAAGAGTGTGATAGGCTCTGGGAAATAGAATTTTCAAGGTGTGAACAAAGAAATAAGATATGCTTGCCTAGTGTAAATATATTCTTGCCTTGATTATTTAGCTGAATAAAATGCACACTGTGGGACTACAACCTTCAACAACTAGTGCAAGTACTTGTTATTTAAAATATAAAGCATATATAATGACTCAAATTCTAAGAGAAACCCATACTACTGAAGCATATAGTTCCTATGTAAACTTACCTGGGAGTAAACCCCATGGAACGCAGTGGGGCTTCCTTCTGAGTAAAGATACATGGCTTACGCTAGGAAGCTTGAAGTTCTTTATTAACAAAAACTAATGATGTCTATACTTAAAAGTAACAAAACCAAAATGCCAGAAAGCAAGCTGCAGCAGTCTACTCCTGAGAAGAAAGCCAAAACCACATAGGAAAACAACAACCATTGCATAAAAGGATAGTAAGCAGAAGGGAGAAGTAGATGCGTTAGTAAAACAGTTAACTGTGGGCACGAATTAGCACTGGGGAAATGACCACAGTGGCTTTGTTTCATAACTACCTTTTAAATTCTACTATAAATAAGTCTGTGGCAAAATCACAGTTTCTGCATTCTAACAAAGTTAATGTTAACATCGGTACAAATTAAGAGTATACAATTAGGCAGTGTTCCAGTTGAGCGTTTATTTTTCATAAATATTACCAAATCAAGTCCGTAGTTTAATTTGTGCTGCTCACTAAGGCACTTTGATCGCACAAAGCGAAATGAAAAAGCGTTACGATGAGGTTGGTTGTTTTTTTCCAGAATTAGGACAATGCATTGCAAACCACAGCAGCCTCAAGGCATCACTTTTAAGCCTTTTCAAAATAATTTCCGCAGGCTAGTGCTAAATAATCTAACCATTAAAACAAGCGATTCAAGTTTAGTTTTTTTTAAAAATCCCTTTTAAAAAAAGAGCTTGTTAAAAACGAAACATCATCTTCGTAAGGGAAAAAAAAGCCATTGATAACAAGACCAAACACGAGATCCCTTACATAAACGTAGATGTACCTTGCAGGGTTGCCAGCACTGCAACTCGGAAGAGAGCATCAGATTTAACAAGGCGAGATACAGTCAGAAAGGCACAATTGCAAAAAGGGAGCACGAGAGTTATGCATTCCCAGACGTGACGCGCGTTAAAAGTCTTACAACTCTGCCCATCCTTCGCTTGGGGAAGAAGTGCTGGTTTGCTAGAACAAAAAGAGAGAGAAGAGGGGCTAAGAAAAAAAAGTTAAAGGGCCCTGTTGTAGTTAAAAAAAGAATAATGTGTGGAGGAAAGCCGAGGAAGGGGACGGGGCTGAGAGCGAGGCGGCGGCGGCGAGAGGATCCCCTCCTCCTCCGGCTCCTCCATCGCGCTGTGGCGACCGGCGCTCCAGTCCCACCCCGGGGTGGAGACCTGCGTCGCGGCGGCGGAAGGGGAGGAGGCGAACGCTCGCGAGGTCTGAGGGAAATCCGAACTGCGGAGAAAATGGCCCCAATTCAAAAAAATAAAAAATAGCAGAAAGAGAGAGAGAGAGAGAGAAAAGAGCAGCCAATCCAGAAAGGCCAAAAAACAGCGAGGAGCCGCAGCGAAGACCGGCGGAGCATCAGCTCCCCGCCCCGCGCCCTCAAGCCCTGCGGGCGACAGCTGCTGCTGCTGCTTTTTGCTGCCTCGCCGACTCCGCCCGCCTCCGGCTCTCGCGTCAACAAGGCTCGTCTCGGGGGGGGGCGAGGGAACGGCGAAGTCCTTGGCCCCCCCTCTCCCTCACATTCTCTTTCAACGCGTTGACCCGGCCGCCGCCTTCTGCTCCGCGCGGCCCCCCTTCAGCCGAGCCTGTCTCTCACTCTCTCTCTCTCCGCTGCTGTGACAGCTCCACGGGCACAAAATGGGGCTGCTCTTTTCCGTGGGCGCCGCCATTTTGTGAAGAGCTGAGCGGCCGTTGTTGGTGCTGTGCTGGCGCCGCCGCCGCCTCCTCCTCGGTCCGAAGGCCGCCCTGTAAACGGCTCCTGGGGCCTTGAGTGCGGTGGCGGGATGGTATCGACCCCCTCCAGGGAATCCCCCAGCGGACGGTTGCGTAAGGGACCGTGCGCAAATTGCGGCGCTCTGGCAGCGGAGCCCGGCTACGCAGTTTGAGTATCCTTGCCGCCGCTGCTCCCGCCGCCGCAGTATACAGTACGCGCAAGGAACTGAAGCGAGGGAACTGACTCACCTCTGCCAAGTTACCAGGCGCTTGTGGGAGGGAGACCCCTAGTTTTTGAGTCATTCGAGGACTGTTTACAACTCTCCCTCCTGAGTGGAGGACGAGAAAAAAGCCTTATGTTCCCACAAGGCGCTTGAACGCACGCTCGCCTGGTGCTGCATTTGTTTTTCTGGAGCGACAGCAACAGCTATTTCTGCGGATGCTATTAACTTGGAAAGAGCAAAATAAGCAACGGCGATCAAAGTTTGCATGCATCCCTTCGGATTAGGGTGCTTCTGGGGGTGAGATTTGGAGAACTTCTCCTCCTCCCCCCTCAAAGAAACGGCTGTAGAAGGGCAGGAGGTTTAAAATGTTGAGAAATAATCCCAAACCAGGGGATTTTGCCCTCTTCTCAATAATGAATACTATGACCTGGAGGGCAGGTTTTACCAACCGTCTTAATACATCTCTATCTCTCTGTTTTCAAGATGAAACTGCAATCCAGCTGAAAGAAAAACATAATCTTAGATTTTAATTTCCTGAAGCAATTTAGTACATGGCATAAAGGGAATATAGATTTCCTTGACCGGCTCACTGGAGACCATAATGTGTAATCGATTTTTAAACAGAACTCTCTCCTAACTTTAGTTACCAGATCTCAGATTTGATAACATGATGATACAGGGCTGGGGGGTCAGTTCACTGCAGGAGAGGGAAAAGTGCCCTTTGCCCCATAAGTCTCAAATAGTCTAGAATCTTGCTTATTCTAAGGTGGAGAGCAAGTGTTCACCTACATTACAGTTTTTAAACGTCAGTGACATTTTTTAAAAAAAAATCAAGCACTCATCTAGAGTATAATTTATTTTATGGGCCTAACTGAAAAAGAGCTGTGATTGAGAAATATTCCCAAGTATTTCAAAGAGTTTATCTGAAGTTCCATTTACATCTGTTGAAGATGGGTGAAATCATGTGTTACTCTGTGGGAACAAAAAAATCCATTTGATTTCCCCACATAATTCCAACTCTGAGTTGGGTTGCGATTACAAAATTATTTATTGGGTATTATTGCTACTAAATTTTTAACAAGGACTATCACATACTACATTCTTTGGCATGTCTAGTAAGTAAGCCCTACTGAACTCACTGGAATTTACCCCAATATATGGATTGCAAACTAAGGAAAGCAAACTTTGGATGTGGGGATCCCATAAGCTTATTCTGGAAATCCAGAAGGGCTTGTTTTATTAATACGTAGTGTGATTTGCACTTCAGTGGTGTGCTTAAATTAATCAAGTTACCAGAAATGATTAGAAGCTTTTCTTTGGACGTGCATTTTAATACATGGTATGGAGCACCAGCATACAATGCCCCACTTCAAGCTGCAGCTCTATGCATACATATTTGGGAGTAAACAATGGGGTTTAACTTCTGAGTCGATACATATTGCGTTGTACTGCAGCAAGTCTTATGAAGTATATGGATACATAATATGGTTCAAATGTTCTACCCTCTTGCTTGCTTTGTCCAGGTCTCACACACCTTGAGCTCACCCTCCCCCCCACATTCCTACCTATTGTATGCATAAGTTCACATCCTTCTCCCTTCCCCCTAACAGCTATAATCTCTCATAGCACTTTTGTGTTTCTTACACATTCATTCTTGTGCTACTTGATTTACAGTCTGGGCTTGCAATAGTCAAGGAACACAAAACCGCCATTCACTTTTACAGACCTCTAGGTTTCACAGTCCATATTTTGGATCAGGGGCCTTTAATGGTTTAACTGTGTTATTACCTATAAGATTTGCAAAATGAGTGGGCTGGTATGTCATACCCCACTGGTATGTCATATTCTTGGTTTAAAAAACACCAAATAAGTAATATATATGGTGTAAATTTATAAAACTATGTGCTGCATACACAATGTGGTCAGGTGTAACTTATAGCCCAAGTTTCCTCAGTAAGTACATTTCCCCTGCCTATATGATATTCCCTGATAATTACAGCTGCACTTTCTCATTGTACAATAATAAAACTTAATGTAGTGCATTTCAGGATTTCAGAGTGTGTTACAGTTTATCCCATTTAGCCTTGCAACACCCCTGCAGGGTAGGCCAATAGAGATGGAATTTGAACTAGGAAGATTGCCCAGCTTTGCCATGGTTAGATAAGTTTCATATATTTTGAAGCCGATTATAATTATTTTTAATATAAAACCTTTGTATTATTAGTGAATCTTCAGAAGTCCTGTGCTACAGAAAACTTTCTAGATTTTTTTTAAGATCACCCTGAACTACAGAGGTTAGGAACTCTCATAAAATTACTTTAGGCCATGCGTAATGTGATACTAGGAAATATGTGTTCACATGTAAAAACATACGGTATCCAAAAATATGCAGGATCTCCCAGTTTTGATGTAGAAAGGTTTTCAAAGTTAAAAATGCACTGATGATTATTTCCTTTTCCTTTTGAAAGATACAGTTGGTGTGTTTATATACAAAACACGCAAGTCCCTCCTTCCCCCTATTCTTATATCTCCTCCGGTTAACCTGGAAAGTACTTCCATCTTTCTAAAGTTTGGGAAGAATGGAACATTTTCCCCCTGCCCCTAACCCTGGAACAACCGGTAGTAGCCGCTTCCAACCCCTTCCTTGCCCCCCCCCTCCTCCAGCCTTTTCTCTTTCCGCCCGGCTTTGTGTGTGTGAAGTTTGCGGCACATTGCAGATGAGCCCTTAGCCGCGAGAGAAGCCTATTGTTCCCCGCCAGGAACTGCTCGCTGGCAGTGCTGCCTTTTGCCATTTCGGAGCTGCCTTTTGCAGTGCCTCGGCCGGCCTGCGGGGTGCGCTGTGTCGCGATCTCGCCCAGGCAAGCAGCACGGCGGCCTCAGATCTTTTTGTCTGAGAGAGGAGAGAAGTGAATCCCGCTGCCGCCGCCGCCGCCGCCACCACCGCCGCCGCCGCTGTACAGTGTGTGTGTGTGTATGTATGTGTGTGCGAGAGAGAGGGAGAGGGGAGATCTCATGGAGCCGCGTCTGTAATACACACACGCGCACACACACACTGTCAGTCCCTCACTCCAGCCTCCCCAACCCCCACCCTACCACAACACTAACCCAATTCATTGTGTGATCCAGCAGCACCATGTTGAGTCTCATGTGCAGGCTGGATCGGCTGGGTTCGTGGTGCTGAGAGAGGCAGGCAAGGCAGCGGCGGCGGCCAGAATTGCCGAGCGGTGGCCCCTCTCTCCCTCGCCGTGTGGAGACAGGACTCGTAATTGCCACTCTCTCCGGGCTCCCTTATTCCTTTTAAACTTTTTCTCCCTTTCTCTCTTCTCGAAACAAGTCCCTCTCCATGGCTGATCCCCGGCCGAGCACAGGAGGAACCCGGGTCTCTTGAAAAAAAAAGGCGAGGAGGAGCCGCGGATTGTTGTTGTTTTTCTCTTGGATTTTTTTTCTCCCCTCCCTCCACTTAAGGAGACAACCCCCCCCCCGACCTCCTTTTTTTTTTTTTTAAATCCGGGGGGCCGACATGGCAAATTCGACCGGGAAAAACCAACCCGACCATCGGAGAAAAGGACTGGCTTTCCTGGACGAGCTGCGGCAGTTTCACCACAGCAGAGGGTGAGCGAGAAGGAAAATGGGGAGATGGAAGGGGATGGTGGCGGCGGGGGGAGGCTGTGCGAAGCGGCCGATTTTAACTTCCAGCCCCTTCCCTGAAGGACGAGGCGGCCCCCCGCCAGGGCAGGGAAGGGGGGCCGACTTGACAAGTTGTTTTTGTGGCGCTCTCCCCTCTCTCGGCAGGTCTCCTTTCAAGAAGATCCCCGTGGTGGGTGGGAAGGAGCTGGACCTGCACGCTCTCTACACCCGAGTCACCACTTTAGGCGGATTCGGGAAGGTGAGTGGAAGTTTTAATTCGCTTTCTCCTCCCCCAACTCTCTCGCCGCCCTCGGGGGCCCCGGCGGCGGGCTGGGGGGGTCGGCGCCCGTCTTTCCCTCAAGCCGGGCTGGGAAGGGGGGGAAGGGGAAGGAGGAAGCAGGCAAGGCAGGTTGGTGCCTCGGCCTTGTCGGCGGAGAGCTGGAGCCCGGGGTGTGGGGGGGGGTTTGCCGCTTTTCCCAGGGTCCCCCCCTCTAGATATTTATTTTTTGGGGGGCCTGCTATCACCCCACGTCTCCTGGAGGGCAGGAGAGAGCGGGCAAGGCGGCGTGTGTGAGGCAGTTTCTTCCGCTTGCGGGTTGTGTGTGTGTGTCTTTCTCCCTCGCGCGCACAGAGAGAGAGGAGACTCTGAGTGCAGTTTTAGTGCAACTCAAAATTAGCGGGCATGTTTAACATCGATAATCGGCACGGAGCTCGGGCTGGGAGATGATCCCGGCGGCCGTGGGGGGGACCAGGCGCTGCCCCGCCAGCCCTTCCCGGAGAGGAATAACAAAAGGGGCAGCCAAGACGGTGTGTAATCAAATAGCCATCTTTAGGCTTCAAGGCTAGGGACAGAAAATGTAGGCCTCAAAAGAAAGGCCTCTGTGTGTCGCGGGAGCTGGCGGGCGGGCTCGGCGGGACGGGGCCCCGGCACCCCTGGGCCGGCGGGGGCGGCCCCCCATCCCGACTCGGCCTGGCTCCTTTTCAACTTCTTGGGGTTTGTTTTTTTTAACGGGCCGCGGGAGGATTTAAAAGCAAGGCGGCCGGAGAGACTCCCGATTGGTTATTGTCCAGGCAGCGAGGACAAAAACAAACCTCTCCACACCGAAATACAAAAAACCCTTTTCTCGCTCCCCAATAAAATAAATGTTGTAAAAGGCGAGGGGAGGAGCGAGATGGGATCGCCACGGTTGCCTGTCAGGGCGAAATAGGGATCCCAGATCCGATGGAAACAAATCCAGAGATCTTTCTCACATTTCTTGGGTTTTTCATGGCAGCCCTTTTTTCTGAGGGTGGCGAGCGACGACGTTGTGCATGTGTGTGGTTTTTGTGCATCTCAGTGTGTTGTTTTTGACAGGTATCTGAGAAGAATCAGTGGGGAGAAATTGTAG